ACTAGTATTATTATAATAAACATTTTACTTCCGAGTACTCTTTTGTTGTATTAATTTTAAGTTTCTCTTTATTTCAAAAACCTACATGAAGCCACTTATAAGCTTTTTAATAAGAGTAAATCAACAATACTTTGTCGAAGAGTAATTTTTTTTACTTCTTTTAGTATTAATGACTTTTCATAAATGTGTTGATTCCAGATACATATACATTAAAAATAAAGTAAATATACCTGAAAAACAAATTTTTCTATTTTTGAAATTAACAAAAAAGTGATAATTTAGCATTTTGAATAATATTAACTTTATTGGATATAAGGAAGTGTGTTTATGAACTTTCAGATAATTTGGCTGAATGCCAAATAAAGACTAAGAATAACAGACCTTTATCTAAATCACTGGCATGTTTGTTTGCAACTCTGACCATGTGCAGAACCGGTTTTACCAGTTTCTGGCTCATGACCTTCACCAATTCTAAAGTCGTGCACTTCATTTTTTTTTATCGTTCTCAGCTGCTGAATGATTGCCAATTATTTAAACGGGATATTGGCTGCACATAACCAACTTTTTCGCAAAACAAATAATTTTGTATATTTTTTCAACGAATATATATAATGTTACCTCTGCAATATTTTGTTTCTCTTACAGGATTCTTATTGACATACAGCTGGTTTTTGTACTAGTCACACATTTTAATTTGCAACCTTGTATTTAAACAATAACAGCATAAAGGAAATTATTAATAGCTTAAAATTTACAATAGAAGAAAATTAAAACTTCTACACCAACTTTTAGTCCTGATGAATATTGTCTATTTTTTATATTGTTAGTTGATTATTCTAAAATTGAACTATTCTTTGATTATAATATTTTATAAATATGTTTTTTGAATAAAGGTAGTGATAGAGTTTTTTGAAAGGAGTAATGTTTGTTCTTAACTTTATATTCTGCTTTTAAAAAATGCAGATTTTTGACCCTATGCAGTATAAATATTCTTAAATGTTGCAGGTGTGCCCACCTTAGGCAAAAATGCTGTTGTCTGTGGTCGTTCCAAAAATGTAGGAATGCCTATAGCAATGTTGTTGCATGCTGATGGAACAGGTATATTTTGTGTTTCTTCAAGTTTTACATATACATATACATATATATATAGACACACACACAATGTGCTCAGTGAACTAATGATCATTACAGTAGTTTAAATCCAAATGTGTAATGCAGTTCTCTTTGCATGCAACTAAAGAGATCTGTAGGAATTATATTCTTGACCTCTACCTTATTTTAATGTTACATATTGTAAAATATCTACTTTGCATTCACTTACTGAAAGTTGTGATTACTAACTAATCATCATTGCATTCCTGGACATTTTTAAATAAATGAATTGTCTATGTATACATAAAAAAAGTGACATTGATTCAAAGTACTTTCTTCTGTTTTGTTCAAGCTTGTGCATGCAATGGGTTATTACTAACAAATTGTTGAGGCAGTTGTTCTTGAAAAATGCTGCTTTGCAATACAAAAAGATTAAAAAAGCAATCTGTCAGAATGCATGCGAGACAGAAGTACAAAATGGAATTTTCTTTTGAATATGCATTGTGCAGGGGAGACAGGTGCCATGGATGCCACTACAACAATCTGCCATCGCTATACACCTGCTGATCAACTAGCTATGCTTACTAGAACTGCAGATATTATTGTCACTGCTGTAGGTTAGTATGTTACGAGTTTTAAATGTCCTATTCAATTTTAAGTTTACTATGTTCAAAATTCAATAAAATGCGTAAAATATGGGATGGTTTTTAATAATATCATAATAACTAGGCTAATTCTGAGCAAATTTTTTCATGATGTATATAATATTATATTTTCTGTAAAAATTTGCCTATTTGTTCCTCGCCAGTGACATATAATCTTGAAGTGTTAATTGGCGATTGTATTGTAATTTTTTACAGGTATTCCCAATCTGATTCGGGCAGATATGGTGAAAGAAGGAGTATGTATTATTGATGTAGGAATAACAAGAGTAAAAGATGAAAAGACTGGCAAAGACAGGCTAGTTGGTGATGTTGATTTTGATGGTATGTTTTTCTTTTTCTTCAGCTTTGCAACTTTACAAGTGTTTCCCCCCCCC